TAAATGTTCATTAAAACTAATAAAATCTAATAAAAAATAATTTAAAAAAAATTAAAAAACAAACAAACAAAAAACCCCCACAGTTTATGCCTCTTAAGAACTTTATGTAGTGGAGTTCTGGTGGCCTACTGATAAGAAGCTGTTCTGCAATCCTAAAGGCCCATGGTTTGACTCCACCAGCTGCTTCACAGGCGAAGGATAGGTAATGTCCTTTGTGATTAACTGCCTCTGAAAAGAAGCTTAGGGTCCACCATAGGTTGTTTCTGACTGGATGGTACACAAGAACAAGGTATGACACCCACCACCTCTCTAAAACGTATCTCTGGAAGAGAAAAAGGTAGACATTTTGAGGCTTTAAGAATTTCCCCTTTGTCCTTGTTGGAAATAGTTCCATCTTCTGAAACTTTTGTTACTTCAAAAGAAAAACTGCTTGTGCCTTTGTGTACCACATATAGGTAAATCCAGAAAACAATCATGTGAACATTTGGGTTGAAAAACCAAAATGCGGGAACATGGAATGAAAATTTAAATTATAATAAGATAAAAAGTAAAACAAAAATGGTATTTGAAAAAAAGCAGAATTTTTTTTTAAAATTCTTTACTTTTGATACTGTGAAGATCTTTCATGCTGCAAGATAAAGCAACATTTGGACACATAAAAAGAAAAAAGCTGAGAAGTTATTCGGATGACCATCATATTCAGAAGTGAAGGAAATAAGCTGAAATGAAGAGATTCTTTTAAACATTTAGAGGCACAATAAGAAAATAAAAGTTTTTTGAATTAATACAGAACCGCCTTTCAAGTCTTTGTGGGAACATTGCTTTGAAAAATCAGGAGTACTGTGATTCTGCAGAAACCATGACTACATGACTGACAAGCACACCTCAGGCTAAGCTCTTTATAGGAGTATGAAAGGTGCTTTCTCAATTTATTTCCTTAACTAGTTACAACTTCTAGCCATGTATTTCCGTTGCAGTAATTTAACACCATGTGCAGACAAATAACACACTATCACATATGTTACTTTCATATGGAAACACATTCTTGATGCCTTTTAGATTTAAGATGTACATTCAGTTAACTACAGAACAGCAAGGCCCATTCTTGGGGGAAAATATTAAAGGGTACATACATAGACATAGACACACACACACGTACACACTCGTTAAAATCTTCCTAAAAAGCAGTTTTTCCTGGGTTCAAGGCTTGAGTATGTTTGAATCATCGAACTGGCTGACGTCAACAAAAACCGGCTGTCATTTTGGAAGGACAGAGCCCAGCGCTCGTCACCTCAGGAGCCAGCACCACTCAGCTGGCATCGGAGAACAGGGGCTTTCGGTATTTGCACTGAATCCACACTCGGTACATTGTCAGCTGCTTTCCCCGGTTAACTTGTAACCGGCGGTCCACCAGGTTCTGAACCTTCTCCAGTCCGGCAGTGGTGAAAAGTTTGTCCAGTTCATCTGGTTCGGAACAGAAGTGTTTATTTTCCCCTAAAGTAAAAGCATTTTGTCTACCACTTTCCTCATTAAGTGGGGTTCCTATGAGATTGTCATTTATTTCTTAATTGGCTTTAGAAAAGCTGTTTTATGTTTAGGTACAAGTCTGGGAACCCAGCAAGATCACCAGTGAATGGGTTGGTTTTTAAGGTGAAAACTGATGGGCTTTAGGCTGGCGGTCTGAACGCTGTTTTAATCTGGCTATCAGGCCCCCATGATGTTGCAACAGCTTTCTAGGGAGAGTTGCTACACAGATTAAAACAAGGTGACCTCGCAGCTGTGAAATGCAGGAGTAGAAACTCCACAAGGAACTGGCGGAGGAGGAGCATGTGGCAGGGAGCCTACTTCAGGGGAAAGAAAATAGTGCAGTTTGGCCATCTGGAGCCCAGTGAAAAATGCGTTCATCTAAGCCAGATGCACCTACGGGACAACCAGCTTAGAAGATGAACAGGCTGGGCCGGAGAGCAGTCTTGCAAAACAGGTAGGTTTCTCAGTTGCACAGGTGGGAGTGAACAGAGAGCAAAGGCACAGGATAGGGGACCCACACAAGCCACTGGAGAGATAATGCAGTTGAAGCTGGGAAGGGCTAGATGGTTTTATTTCTAAGTTTGAGAAACATACAATTTGGTAACCCTGGGGATATTAAATATAGATAAAGAGTCTTCATACCTTGTGTGAAGAAGTAAACTCTGGTACCATCACCTCTCACATAGAAATTTTCAGACAGACACTGACCTACAGAGTGATAAAGATGAAATCAGAAAAACTGAAAACATTTCTTTTACTTTTCAGTGCCTGTGAAACATGCATCAAGATACCGAGACAGATTTTAGATTTTCTGGGGCAGAGGTTCTTGTTTATACTTGTGTTGCTGTTGTTGGGAGACTCCTGAATCCAAACCAACCCACAGCTGACCCACCAGCAGGTTTTCATAAGCAGTTAGTCACAAAGGAGACAGCCCATTTTTCTCCTGCAGAGCAGCTGGTAGATCTGAACCACGTACTTGTGGGTTGGCAGTGCAACACACCTTACCACTAAGCTACCAGAACTCTCATTCTTGTTATGTTGTTATGTGCCGTCGAGTCGTCTACTGTATTGTTTGATTTATTATTATTATTATTATTATTATTATTATTTTTTAATTAAAAGGCTGAGGGGATGGGGACGAAGGAATTACAGATTCCTACAAGAATGAATAGGTAATATTCTGTACACACTCAGCACCTAAACAGTCAGATATCACTTAATGTCTCCATGTGAAATGTAGTATTATCATGAGATTCAGACATTGTACACACACAGTATTTAACATAAGCAGTCCTTGGATGAAGACTAGGTTCCAAGTAGAATTTGTTCAAGTCAGAGCAGTTAGTTATGGCCTCTATTTAGGATCCAGTATTTGCCCTGTGCACACTATACTTTTCTATGTATAAAAGACAGTAAACATGCAAAGATACAGATACATTTGTCAATATAACACAGCAATAGTAAGATTCTGATGTGCTTCTCAAAGTAGAACTCATTAGTTATCACCCATTGTATAATCCTTGAACAGGGGTTGAGATCATGGACATGTATGCGGCTGGATGTCGCTCAGATTTTAAACCTGGTGCATGACTGTATAATATTTTCTTTCTAGTAACTCTTTCTGGTGGTGCAGTTGGCCTATGGACATGCAACTTCACCCTCCCATAGGATTCGCTTTGTTTCCAGATTTTTCCTCATGAGGTGTTGGTTCTTTTTTTTTAAAAGAGGAAAGGCTTTTAAAGATAAGATGGCAGAGTGATCAGCAAGGAGAAATGGATGAAGCTCAGTAATTCTCATGGGGAGGACTGCTGCGCTGAATACTGTGCCATGGCACATTAAGAAAAAGATCAGACCTACTTGTATTTTTATCAGCAGTGGGGGGAATGTACCTATTTCTCAGAACTGACTAGCGATAGATTTACCAAGTGGTAGCTCAAGTTATTTTTGTGTCCATGCCCACTGCAGAGGGTAACAGTGGGTTTCCCCCACCTCATTATGGTAAAAACACCGTACACAGCAACACAGCCAATTTAATCTTCCTCAGGTGTACCATCTTGTGACATCAGAGATAATCCTATCTGAATGATGATGGTTTACCGCACAGTTGGCTATGCTCTTCTGTGAACTGGTGCTAAGAGACTTGGCCTGGTTTTTCTAGGTGGGCAGTTGATCTTTCCTTATCAATTTGCTGACAGCTCTTTGAGATATTAAGGCTTTATTTATCAAATGCATGGAAAATATCGCCCCCCCCCCATCTGTCTTTTAACTGAAATACTTTTTATTTTTATACAGACAGCCACAGTAAAAAAACAAAAAACAAAAAACCCAGGTAGCCAGCCACAGCAGTCCATCAACTCAATAGCTTCTACATGCACACTTCAGTGACGCTGAGTATTACTCACTTCCCCTTCTGAACTGCTTTCTTGTTGACACTGACATGAACTTACTCCTGCCCCTCCCCTTCAAGGTCAGACCTCAACTTTTCTGTGTCTTTTAACTGCACCTTGCACAGCACACTTAAAAATTATTTATGTAGCCAAGTACCTTTCAAAATAGTTCTTGGATTTTTGTAGCTGTCTTGGTTAAAAGATCTCCCCAATTTCTAAGTCACACAAAATGCTTTCTTAAAAATATATACTGCTCTTCACACCCATGTTTATTGCGGCTTTGTTCACAATAGCAAAGAGTTGGAAACAACCTAACTGCCCATCAACAAACAAATGGGTAGAGAAGCTGTGGTATATTCACACAATGGAATACTAAGCTGCAGTGAAAAACAAGGAACTCATGAAATATTCAAAATGGGTGACTTTGGAGGACATTATGCTGAGTGAAATATCAGTCACAAAAGGACAGGGGCTCCATTGTAGAATGGGATTGACATCAGGGTTGGAGTGAGACTGAGAAAAACTAGATAAATTATGTATACTGCATTGAAACAGATGAGGGAGAGAACTGTTTGAAAGTGATATGACAAAAGTCTAGAATGAAGGTTGCATAGTGGAGTGTACTCGGGGCAGGAGGGGGGTGGATTCTATACCAATGAAATAATTTTTCTTTTACTTTTCAAAGAGAAGTGTGAACTGGGGGGAGGGGTGGGCAGGGAGAAAAATGCAACAATGAATGTATGGAAATTCCAAATCTCTGTAAACATTCATTAAAATTAATTTAAAAAAAATAGAGAAAAAAGGAAAAAATAGAAAAAAAATTAAAACAAAAGATGTACTGTAAAAATGAACATTGTAGATTTAGAAAGCATGTAATTCCCACCTTCAACTTATTATTAAATGGATATACTAGGATTTGGTAAAGAGCACGGAGCTTAGCCTGGTGGAGGATTAAGCAAGCCCCTCTCAGTACTCAGAAGAAGTTTGCATTTAAACATATTCCTTGGACTTTTAATTAAAGAGATGTACATTTTTTTAAAGGGGAAAGAAAGAAAAATAAAAAGAGACTTTGACTTTTAAAACAAAAAAAATATACTGCTCTTGTTGTGTACCATCAAATCAGAACCGACCCATGGCTGGCCCTCTCACGGATTTTCACAGGCAGTTAATTGCATGGGACGAGACTGCCCATCTTTCTCCCACACAGCAGCTGGTGGATTTGAACCACATCATGGACTGCAGCACAGCTTCTAGCCATTAGGCCATCAGAGCTCCCCTGTATACTGCTCTTGGAATACAGTCAATTTCATTATATATACAGGGAGATCTAATTCTGAAGTTTGTTATCTGTTTTGACATACCTTTTTTGAACCGGAGCTGTGCCATGTCATAGCGGCCATAATCTCGCAGGAGCATCATCCCTCCAGGCCTCAGCAGCCTGCTTAGCCTGGTGACAGCCTTCTGCATCCTGCAGGCAGAGGGAATGAGATCAGCGCTCCTCAGGGATGGGACTCCCCGTCTGTGGAGTATCTCCAGATGACCCTGCCTGCTCTCACTTCAGTTAGAACCAAACTAAGCACGTGGTGGCCAAACCCCAGATGCACTTCCTGCTGAGAGCACAACCTACCTTGTCTAAACGCAACTAAGTGTGGTGGACAGTCACACACACGTTCTCTTCTTAGCTCCCACCCTTCCTGATCAATTCCAGGGAAGTCATCTGTGCCTTGTGCTCATCTCTGAAGAGAGAGGCTGACTCAACCTGCTCTACTTGATGGGAGCTCTGAAGGCAGAGATTTTATCTGTCACTTTTTGTCCCTGCTTATATAACAAAGTATGCTAAATGCAGACTTAGCTTTAGGAACATAGCATCTACATGGTGATATAATCAGCAAGCAAAGAAGTGCCACAGGTAAAGTGTTCTACATGTGTAACCTGTACAGGACAGCTCTACAGTCTTAATGCAGGCTTAAGGGTTAGCAACTTCAGAAATATAAATACTAAAAACCTAACCAAAACAACACTTGAAAGTTAAGTGTCTACATTTGGAGTAACGATTAACTTTACTCTAGAGAAAACATCAGCTGAAGTCTATCACCTGCCTGAGGCAAGGCAGTGCTAGGCCCTGGGCCTCCAAAGAGCTACAGCAAGCTCTTGCTTGTGGCTTGTTTTCCTAGCATGCCAACCTCCAGCCTGCACACTCACCTCTCATCACTAATTTACTTCACCATCTCATCGGCTCTCACGGTCACAGGACAAAGAGTCATCTGATGTGTCTACCCTCTAACCTTATACTTTTGGTGGGCATGGTTTGCCCAGTCCACTGGTATGTACCAAGTTTCTGGCCTCTCTTCTAAATGGTACCTGGCAAATTTCAGAGTACTTTTTATGGGCCAACAACTAACTTACTTTCTATCTTATCCTGATTGTATGGGATTTTCTTTATTGCAATTTCCCAAGAAATCAAGCATAGTAACTATTAGCCTAGTTAAGCATAAATGTAAACTTCATGTATGGTTAGTTAAGGGTGGTTTATTTAGAAGAGCAACTATGGGATGTTATCAACACTGTTAGTTCTGAAACATGTCGTTAAGATTATCAATAGGAATTTCTCTACATATCTAGGACAGCGTCCTCCTCCATTCTTTGGGAAGATTAAGGGATCTAAACTTACTTGTCTGGAACAACTGCTGAAAGGACAAATATGAGGATGATGATATCGAGACTGTCCTTGGGCACTGGGTAACTTTTATCTTCATCACACAGATCGTGAACAAAGGCCAGGCACCGGGAAGGATCATACTCTGAATTTGCCTGCAGTGACAGTTGAGACGGACAGACATATCAGAAAATGGTCTTAAGACAAGCTTATCTTGCTTGAAATACAATCAACACTGAGCAGTATATTTCTAGTACCTAATGTTGGTGTTAGCTGCTACCGAGCTGGCCCTGACTCACGGTGATTCCACATACAATGAACAAAACGCTGCTAGTCTGTCTGCCCCATCACAATGGAAGCCTCTCAGACCCTCAACTGCTGTGGATTGCTATAGCTGGTGGGGTGGGCTGGGCTGTGTCCTTAAGAGAATCTTTACTGCACATGCCTTTTCAGGGGGAATTCAAAGGGTGTGGATCAAGAAGAACGCCAGACTTATGAATTCAGCTTAAAAGACGACAGAGTTGTCTTCTGTAAGTTGCCTATAAATATGGATTTCAAAACAAACATAAAGCCTTAACTTAGAATTTCGTTATGTTTTAGAATTGTCACTGCCTTAATGTTTAAACATCTGTTGAAATCCTTAAGAAATGCATGTTTGTTTTTGGCTTTTTTGTTACTGTAAATGCAGTGATTTATGGCTTCGAACTTTTTTGTTTCTGTGACTGTTTGTTGGTCAAGTTCGTAGAGTCATTTGCAGAGAACCAGAGCATGTACCACCACGTTCTTCCTGTAAAGAACCACCAGTTGCCCTGAGAACCTTCGTTACCTGACTTGTTCCAAGATTATTTGTAAAAGCTGAGTATCAGTGATTAAAGAGAAGTGAGAATTCTTAAAAAAAAAAAAAGAAGAACGCCAGAGAAAATCCTATAGAATATAATGGAACACTGGTGGTTTTTAAGATGAAACCATTTTACATTTTAGTCTTCCCTACTGACATTGTGTGGAATCAGAAACAAAGACTTAAAAATGATTAGGAAGTTAAGTGACCAGGAGGGACCACAACAAATTCACAAAGAGAGAGAAGACAAATCAACACAGTTCTTAGCAAAGGAAATTAGCTTTTCAGATGTGGAAAATATAACCTGCATTTTGTTATAAAATTAAGAGAAGCCTCAATACCCAGTTGGTCTATATTTGAAATAGTTTCAGAAAGAGATGGAAAATTAAGAGATGAGTTCCCCTGCTACTAACAGACACATCTTAGGGTCTGCCCTTTCCATGGCCTCTTCTCTGAGAATGGGACTCTGTTCTCACTAGTCACAGCTGATTCAAACAGGGAAGTCGATTCGTCAGTTGGGCTGTATCAGAGGCTGTTTCTGAGAACTTGAAACAAGACTTAGTTGCCCTAGTGAAGCTCTGCAGCTGAGCAGGGTGAACTTGTGAGAAGAGGGGAAAGCACATTAGAGACATGAACAAAATGTGGAAAAACCTAGAGAAGGCTAGTCTGCAAAGTAATAAAAAAGCCGACAAACCGTGGGCAATGGGACAGGCAAACATGAACACGAGGAAGCTGTCTTGATAAGAGGAGAGCAAAGTAAAACCTAGCAGCCTGTGCTTGCTGTGGTTTTCTGGCAACCTGTCAGGGCTGAGTTCCAGTCCCTCCCTGGGTCTGGCAACACTTCCTGCCCTTGGGCTGTGACATCTTTTACTATCTGGATTTGCAAGGATATTTATTGTTTTTTAACTATTAAAAAAAAATCTAACTTGCACTTTATGTGAAAGTTAACAGAACAAATTCGTTACTACTGACTAGCTTGTTCCATGGCACTGGCTGTTGTCAGTGTTCTCCGTTTCTGCACTGGGTTCTTGAATCTTCATTTTCTCTTCTCAGGGAGCTCTTAGCTTTTGAGGTAACTGTTGTAGGGAGCTCTGGTGCCCAAGTGGCAAGAAGCTGCATTACAATCCCAGATGTATGCAGTTCGAATCCACTAGATGCTCTGCTGAGGAAGAGGGGCAATCTCCTCCTGTACCAGTCAGATCTGATTTGACCATACACACACACACAAAATAATAAAAAACCCCAAAAACCAAACCAACAAAACAGACTGTTGTAAAGTACACATTTCTCTTGAATGCTACTGGAAATTCAATCTTTTCTCTGCAGACCAGAGGACGAGACACAGTTGCTCTGATTCTCAGGAGACCCTTTCTCCCTCCAGCCAGTGAAAATTACCACTAGTAAGGGGGTATCAGACTTACTTGGACCAGTTCCACAGCAGTCGAAGAAAAATCACAACAGTAAACAAAGAGCCCTGGATCACTGAAATGACAAGAAAAACAACAAAACTGACTTATACACTGGAGCAGAGCAGAAAGTATCAAAACACAAGAGTATGAGGCATCCCAGAAACTGTACATCAGTTACAACCAAATTCATTTTGATGAAAAAATTTTAAAAATTATTTTTTTATTTTGTGTGTGTGTGTGTGTATACTGTCAATTATTTTATTATTTTGTGTGTGTGTGTACCGTCAAATCAGATCTGACAGGTACAGGAGAATACTGCCCCTCCTTCTCCAGTAGAGCATCTGGTGGATTCAAACTGCGTATCTCTGGGATTTCAGTGCAGCTTCTTGCCACCAGAGCTCCCGCTGATTAAAATATTTTAAAATTTCAAATTCATTTTTAGGTCTTGTGGACATAGTGAATTAGTCTTCTGGAAAGTCAGTGACTTTCAGCACAACATCCTCCTGCTACCCACCTATAGAAAGCCTTCTTTTCCTCCAAGCCAATCCTAACTGATAGGTCTTCTCTTGGAGCCACCTCAGTTCTTTCTCTGTTCCAAGAACACGGATATACCCTTCAGTCTGTCCCCATCATACTGTGGCTGCCCTGATAACAAAGATTACAACTACCATCTCATTGTTCATGAAAACATTCTAAGTGTCCATTATATGTTGGGCATTATCCTAAATATTGGGTAACAAATACGTCCTCCCTAGGATTGTTCTTATTCTAATATTGGTCTAGTACAATTCCTGGTACGTGGTAAGAGTACAAAGTTAAATCTGATGAATATTAGTGTGGTTCAAAAGTTTGCTTTCAGTTAGGAAATACATACTATTTAACTCAAAGATATTTCCTAAATCATGGTCAAAATACAAAGCAATCTGTAATTTGAGAGTTCTTTTCCTGGAAGCAATAAAAAGGGGTGAAAGGCAGTGTGCTGGTTTTGAGAAGAGTTCAGAGCTGTGCCACACTCATCCTTTGAGTCACGCCTTGGAATTTTACGGAACATTCAGCATCTTAAACTCTCAAAGGCCCAAGCTCAGGCCAAAATCCTTCTAAAGTGCTGACACTTGGGGTAGACAGTTTCTAGAACTACAAACTAGACTAGGAACCTAGGAAGTTACACTGTTACTGATCACGTTGTTGTTATGTGCCGTAGAGTCGCTTGCGACTCATAGTGACCCTATGTACAACAGCCCTAAACTCTGCTCTGTCCTGTGCCAATCGGACTGTTTCTGACACTCCCATCCTGATTATCCCAGTCACTGAATCAATCCACCTCATAGAGGGCCTTCCTCTCCTGCGCTGTCCCTCCACCCTCCCAAGCATGATGTCCCTCTCTAAGGACTG